GAAATTAAACTGATTGTAATCTACCTTTATTAACATAATAGTCTATATTATCAGTATTTTTTAAAGAGCTAAATCAATATATTCCAATGCGTCTTCAAATCGATTCATCTTACCTAATGTAATAGCTAAAGGTTGTAAATAATATTCTACCATAATTAAAATAATTAACAGAATTTTCAGGGTTCTTCTAAATAGCTAAATTATAATATTCTAATGCTTCTTGAAATCTATTCATTCTGTCTAAAGTATATGCTATGAAATTATAATGAGATAATTATTACCTTTGTTACCATAATAATTTGAATTTTCATGATCTTTCATAATGGCAAAATCATAAAATATCAAAGCATCGTTAAATCTATTCATTTTATCTAATGTCTAAGCTAATCAATTATAGAGATTGTATTTTGCCTTTCTGAACATAATATAAGGAACTTTCAGGATTCCTCTAAATAGCTTATTCAAAAGATTCAAGAGCTTCTTCAAATAAAAAAATATTAATTAAAGTAAGGGCTATACAATTATATTTATGTTATTATACCTTTATTAGAATAATTAACAGATTCTTCAGGGTTTTTCGAAATAGCTAAATCATAATATTCCAATGCTTCTTCAAATCTACTCATAAGATTTAAAGTTATTGCTATTAAATTCAAAGAAATATAATTGTACCTTTTTCATTGTAATAAACAGAATTTTCAGGTTATTTTTGAATGGCTTTTTCAAATAAATCTAGTGCTTCTTCAAACCTGTATATTGTCTTTAAAGTAAGAGCTATAAAATCTTATTAATTGTATTATACCTTTATTAGAATAATTAATGGATTCTTCAGGGTCTTTCGAAATAGCTAAATCGTAATATTCTAATGCTTCTTCAAATCTATTTATAAGATTTAAAGTTGATGCTAGGAAATCATAGAGACATAATTCTACCTTTGCCATCATAATAACCTGATTTTTCAGGATCCCTCTTAATAGCCAGATCATAAAGTTGTAATGCTTCTTAAAACCTTTTCATTTTATCTAATACTTTAGCTAAGCAATTATATGATATTATTCAACCTTTGTTAAAATAATAGTCTGAAACGTCAGGGTTTTTATTAATAGCCTAATCATAATATCTTAATGCATTTTCAAGTTGATTCATTTTGTTTAATGTAAGAGCTCAGAAATTAAAAACATATTTAATGTACCTTTGCCATAATAATAGTCGGAATCGTTAGGATTTTTACAAATAGCTTAATCAAAATACTCCAATGCTTCTTCAAATCTATTCATACAATATAATGTTGAGGCTAGGAAATTATACATATATAATTCTACCTTTGCTGTCATAATAATCAGATTTTTCAGGATTTTTCTGAATGGCTTAATCATAAAGTTGCAAAGCTTCTTCAAATCGATTCATATTTTTTAATGTAAGAGCTAAGAAATTATACAAAAATTTAAAGTGCCTTTGCTAAAATAATAGTCTGAGTTTTCAGCGCATTTCTAAATCGATTAATCATGATAATCTAATGCTTCTTAAAATCTATTCATTTTATGTAAGGTAAGAGCTATTAAATTATCTTAATAATTATTATACCCTTGTTAAAATAATAGTCAGAGTTTTCCGGGTTTTTCTAAATTGCATAATCATAATATCTCAATGCTTCTTCAAGTCGATTCAGTTTCTTTAATGTAAGAGCTCCGAAATTATACAAATTAAATATACCTTTGCTATTAAAATAGTCTGATTTTTCTGGGGATTTCTCAATGGATTAATCATAAAATTTCAATGCTTCTTCATATCTCCTCATTTATTCTAATGTATTAGCTAAAAAATCTATCTATAATATTTACCTTTGTTAAAATATTAGTATGAAATTTCAGGGTTTTTTTGAATTGCTAAATCAAAATATTCCAATGCTTCTTCATATCTATTCATACAATATAAAATTGTAGCTATAAAATTAGATAGATTAGGTTAAACCTTTATTATTATAATAGTTCGCATTCTCAGGATGTTTCAAGATAGATTAATCATAATAATCCAATGCTTCTTCGAATCTATTCATTTTAAATAATGTAATAGCTAGAAAATTATCCTCATTCAATTCTACCTTTGTTATCATAGTAGTTCGAAGCTTCAGGATTTTTCATAATAGCTTTATTATAATTTTCCAATGCTTCCCCAAATCGATTTAATTTATCTAAAGTAATTGCTTTTAAATAGTAATGGTTGTATTATACCTTTGTTAAAATAATAGTCAGAATCTTCAGGGTTTTTCTCAATAGCTGAATCAAAATATCGTAATGCTTCTTCATTACTATCCATATTCTTTAATGTTATAGCTAATGTACATTTAGAGAATAGATCATACCTTTGCTATTATAATAGCCAGATTTTTCTGGTTTTTTTTTAAAGGCTTAATCATAACATTGCAATGCTTCTTCAAATCTATTCATTTTCTATAACATTTATCCTAAAACATCATACGTTTTTTACTTTTGTTATCATAGTAGTCCAATACCTCAGGATTTTTCATGATAGCTTCATTATAATATTCTAATGCTTCTTCAAGTCTATTTAATTTTTCTAAAGTAATTGCTATTAAATAATGATGGTTATAAAAGACCTTTGTTAAAATAATAGGATGAAACCTTACAATTTTTCTAAATAGCTTAATCATAATAATTCAATGCTTCTTCTAGTCTATTCATTTTTTATAAAGTTGTAGCTATTAATTATAGATATATATTTGTGCCTTTGCCATTATAAAAACCAGATTTTTGAGGATTTTTCTTAATAGCTTAATCATAATAATCTAATTCTTAGTCAAGCCCATTAAGTTTATCTAAAGTAATTGCTCTAAAATTATACTCTTTTATTAAGTGAAGATATTTTCTTTAAACAACCCTTAAACTAATAAAAATTTTTTTCCCCCCTTTTGGATTTTCCTGTTGTTTTTAATTTAGGTTTTCTGTGTAAATTAAAGAAATTCATTTCCTTAAGTCATTCGCTGTGAATTATATTTTTGAGCTACTCCTAAGAGAGCATTAAATCGTGTAAGTTAACAGAAATTATTAATGCATGCTTTACTTAACCTATACTGTTATATCTTGATTTTGAAATCATATTCATAAGATTATTTCATTAATTTAATTAATGAGTCGATAATTTATTTAAGAGAACTAATAGAAATTTTAAATAAATGCTAGTTTATTATTCTGTTTATAGACTGAAAACAATTGCATATTGTTTTTGAATTAATAGATTAGCATTTTTTTCCTAGTACTATGTCACAATAAGTTTAGATTTCTTTTTAATAAATGGAATAAGCGTTTAAGAAGCAAATTTTAACTAATTGAATTCTAGCTCTAGTCTTTTGAAAGGGAGTCATCCAATATTGTTTAGAAGTGGAATTAACTAGTTGATGTTTTAAAGAACTTTAAGAAAAGATAATTGCAAATGAGGTTTCTTCCTAACTTATATTCTCTAATTATTGGATATTACTATTGCCTCTCCTTTATCTGATTGATTTAATATTATGAGGGATTATATGATAAGGAGGGAGGAAGGGAAACTCTCATATCCAGATTTTTTTAAAATCATTATCAGGAGA